CTATTAGCTTTTCAAGTCAACACTGCAATTATGAAGTGTTTGCTTGCCTACTGCGAGCTGAGCTTGAAATAAAAGCCAAAAACAAGTTTGGACAAATTTAAGAACTGCAATTTAAACACAATGTTGTCTTTTACATACTAATACATTATAAATGTTTATGTATTTAGTCATATCTTAAAAATATAGATTTTATTAATCACTTCATAAAAACATATACATTAACACTATGCATGCATCATTGCTTTTAAGGCCATTGTCATTGTCTTTTATACGTACATCTAATACTCTCTGAATACCTTAAACTGTGCAGCATCTGTTTTGTTTATTGTATTTTCTATATATAGATATTTGAAAACCTTTAAATGTTTTGTTCTTATACAGACAGTTAGCAGGTTGAGGGTGTTTTCATATTCCCCTTCCGTTATGTTCTGATTTCACCTTGACCTCCCTGTCTCCTAACTTATAGAGGGTGACAGGATGTCCTCATTAGAAGAGAAAAAGAGGGCGTTCTGCATTCACCAGGGGACCTGATTACCATATAAAGTGACAGTGTACAAAAACAAAAACTGTAATCTACTGTATGAATCTTAACTTCTGACCTTGATGAGAGATACTTTGCTGTGAACTGGCTACATATTAGCTTGATGCTGAATTATAGTTCCCAAGAGCCATCTGTATCCGGCAACCCGGTAACAGTATCTTTTCCTTATGCAAATCAAGCGTTTGTGCAGAAATGATAACCAGAGGAGCTGCAAAACCTGCTTTTTATGAACGATCCGCCTCAATGATCAGAGGTTTTGCCTAAATTCACACATATTGCATTGAATCATGGCAACCACTAGACCTGAATGCAGGCAAATTGTAGGCATAAATCCTTGCTGACACAAGATCGATTTGAAAAGGATAAAATTTATACAGACAGTAAATAAACACATTATAATAGCAATTAACTTCAAAAATGGATGTGAACTATGAACTCTTAAACACAATGAAGTTCCTTTATTTGTATTGATGGTTCCATGAAGAACATTTCAAATCCCTAGAAATCGTGTATCTACTTAACAATTTTCTTTATGGTTCTGTATAGTAGATAAATGTTCTTAAATTATTAAAATGTTCTTCACACTGCAAAATGTTGGGTTTCTCAACTCTGTCTCAAATTGGCCACATCCATATCGCCCTGCAGCCTGGCTACTCACTGAAGCTAAGCAGGGCTGAGCCTGATCAGTACCTGGATGGGAGACCATATGGGAAAACTAGGTTACTGTTGGAAGTGGTGTTAGTGAGGCCAGAAGGGGGTGCTCAACCTGCCGTTTGTTTGAGTCCTAATGCCCCAGTATAGTGAAGGGGACACTATACTGTCAATGAGTGTCGTTTTTCAGATGAAACGTTAAACCGAGGTCCTGACTTCCTGTGGTCATCAAAAAAAATCCCATAACACTTTTCATAAAGGGTAGGGGTGTAAGCCCGGTGTCGTGGCCAAATTTTCTCCATTAGCCCTTATCCATCATGGCCTCCCAATCATCCCTATCTACCAAATTAGCTCTATCACTGCCTCTCCTTTTTAGTGTCCAAGTGGTGTTGTTGTGCTGTGGTTGCCGTTGCATCATCCAAGTAGATGCTGCACACTGGTGATGGTGCGATGTAGAGAGAGATCTCGCCTTTTATTCGGCTTTTAGGCATCCACAATAAATGCACTATATACACACATTACATTACATATAGACAAACTCAGCTGTTGGCTTAATTTGTTTTTATTTGAGACTTTAACCCACTGTCCACAATTGCTCTAAAAATGGTTTAAAACCTTAAGTGTATGAATAGTAAGTGGTTATTTAAAAAACCTTGCACTAAAAGGTTCTTTGGGGAACCAAAAAAGTTCTTTTAAGGCACCATTTTGGTTCTTTGTGGCTTTTTGATTTTTAAGAGAGTAGATTTGAGTTGAGGGCCTCTGTTGCATGGGACAACCGACCATTATGTAAATAACCATTGCAGAATTCCATGATTGGCCAATCAGAAAGAAGAATTCCCCAGAGCCGTGTGGTGATCAGAGTTATCTGTGAATCAGATTCACTCACGAATACAGGGCTTCTTTTATACTCACCTCCCTCCCTTCACATCCGGTTCGGCTTCAGCAGTCTCGCAGTGAAACTCTGAATCTGTGGCATCTCTGTAAAAGCTTTGTGACCTTTTCTTACCTGGTTCCGCTGCTTGGTTTTGTACCTGGTTACTTGAAGATAATCCTTCAGGAGCGCAGCAAAACATCACTTACCTGCACAGCACTGTTTTTATTGAAGAGCGATCAGATCCAGCATCTCAGACGCCCTCCACCGGAGACAGAAATGGGCTCACATTCACATTTTCCTCCTTCTGAGCTCCTCATTTCAGATTTGTGCTCGTGAATGCGCTCTCTGTGGAGAGCTTTACTATGTGGGCCAGGATCTTTCCATATGATTAGCGAGCTTGATAAATGGGACTGTATAATTATGTTGTGACTATTAAGAAGTAGCGGTTAAGCCGTTCTATAAGAAGTGTGTATATAATTACATGGTGTTTTATCAATAGGCTTGTGCGCATCTGAAAAGAGCTCACGCTGGAGGCAGCTGCTCTGTAGTGCTGGGCAGCACAAAGACCCAATGGAGAGTCCTCTCTCTCTCTGCTGTCTGTCCCTTTTTCATATCCCCGCTCTGCTTAATCCTGTGAAAGATCAATTCGCCATATCCTAGTGCTGCTCAGCAAGGTTATGGTGGCCTATAGCAGTTTGGGCTAATAACACCCAGCAGTTGAAGTGCTTTAAGTAGGTCTGCATTGCATCATCAATAGTGCTGTTGTAGAGATCATGTTTATCAAATAGTTAATACTACTGGTGATGCCACATTTACTCAAACAAACTTTAAAATTAGGTCTTAAATTTTCTAAATATTGAAGTAGCACTTGCTACAGGTGAATTATTTTGCTCTGAATGTTCAAAGAGATCCTAAGTTTATTTTTGGTAAAGTAAGTCTTTATTAGTCTCGGTTTTGGATATTTAAAATCAAATACTTTATTTTTTTTATCTTAAAATCTAATTTTAGGGACCAAGCATTACTGTGCATATGCCCTATTGGATTTGCTTTGTTGATTATTACTATTATTATTATTATTAATATTCTTCTCTAGACTGAATCGCCATTTTAAGGGCAATCCTCGCAAACTCACAAAAGTTTGCACATGCACCAGAAGGGGTGAAAATTCACGTTTGTTATAGGTTTCGAAAATGGGTGCAACAAAAATACCTCAACAGCGCCCCCTATGCACATTTGACGGACTTGCCCCTGAGCTATGTTTCATGCTCATGTCCAAAAATTGGCATACACATCAAACATGCCAATACCTACAAAAAAGTCTCTTAGAGCGAAATCTCAAACCCAACAGAAAGTCAGATATTGAAATTTATAAATCATCCTAGAAGCCATTAAACTGTCTAATTTTGTTGATAATGTGCTCCCGTTTTGTTAAAAAATGATTAATTTATTAGTAATATATTGTATCAACCACTAAATAGCATATTTTTATCAATAATAATCGTATAATTATTTTTTTCATTTGAATAATCCACTAGATTGTTACATAACTTCTTTAATAACATGCTCCAATTGTGTTTTATGTGTATTTATGTATAATTATTTGTATAAATCACAACATTTTATACAGTTGTTGATAAACTCAACTTTTAATGTAATGTATATACATTCTGCAAATGTATGCATATCCATTTACACACAGTGTTTTATGTTATTACTTTCTACAGTATAGTTTAAGAAAGCTAACAGCAATATTATATATATACAATAGCTATTATTCCAGACATAGTTCTGAGTCAGGCAAAGAAACCATGAACTGGAGTGTAAGAGGTTCTCTATTACTCCTTAGAGGTCGACATTAAACTGCAGGCTGCCACAGCAGAATGATAGCTCTAGTATAAATAAGCTGCCTCAGTAAAAATGTGTGTGCTAAATGAGTAACAAAAAAAAAAAACCTCCAACAAAAGACAGGTTTTAAATTACTATCGCGCTCCTCTAGAGGGAGCAGTCGAGTCCAGACATGCTAAAGCAGCATTAACCACAGTTTTGTGTTTTTAAGGTCATATCTGAAAGAGGACATCGCACCCTGTGGTTTATTATTTGCTGCCACTTCATTGACTTAACCCAGATGGACAGGTAGCGCTCGTTCACAATGCTAGTTTTGGCCTCTACAAAGAGCTATTTGGTTGGAGAAGAGAAAAAAAGAGAAGAAAAAACGGCGCTGTAAGTGTCCTCAATGGAGGCTTTGTTACAGGGGCCAGGACCCAGCGTGAGAGGGCTGAGGGCAGTGATGGATAGTAATACCTGGCCCCCCTGGTGCCTCAAATGCCTCAGTGAGATACCAGCTCCACAAACACTGCCTCTGTCCGGCTCCTGTCCCTCTTTCCCTGGCCAGCTTTGTGTGTTTGAACAACCAGTGCTTTTTTCTTGCTTTCACCCCCCCCTCTTTCGGTCTCGCTCTTCCATTTTTCACTCAAACGGAAGGGAGGGAGAGTTTGACCAGCTGTCCAGACTCACCTGTGGACGGTGAGCAGGAGGAAACAGGAGGGAAAAGTGTTGCATTTGTCTTTGAAATGCACAAGTTTTGAGACATTTTGCTTTAGTTTCTTGGAGGCTGGCGGAAGAGAGAGGATGTGCGGCCCAGAGAGTTAAGCGGGAACTGAATTTGAGGTCTGTTCGAAACTTTTTTTTTAACATTCTCTTTACTATATATTTTTACATCAGCATTTTAAAACTTTATATTTCTTTTGAAAAAAAAGTTTTAAAATCATGTTAATATTATATGTATAAGACAACTAAAAAAATTCAGAGAAACGAGGGGGAAGAGGAAAAAGAACAAACAAAAAAAAGTAAGGGGGGAATTTGAGGTGTTTCTACTAGGGTTCAATCACTGCTCTCTTGTTAAACTACTCAATAAATGGATTCCATATTACATGGACATTCTATATTTAAGGGAAAGTTTTAGCTTCTCAAGTGTGGAGAAACAGGGAGGATCTTTTCGTTTCCAGTTCAGTAAAATCAATTTATGTGCCAAAGGGTTATAAATCTAATCACAATATTGATTTTTAGATATTCCGCATCATCACTGACACCAAATATAGGAATATATATATATATATATATATATATATATATATATATATATATATATATATATATATATATATATATAATAGGATATACTTGTTTTCCCACCACGTCTGATATTAATTAAAAAACTGTTCAAAGCTTTTAAAGATGGTTTTTCATCGTAGATGTAAAGTTTAAAGTGGGTTTTTCCAGATATGAATGATCTAAAATGGGTGTAAAAATACAAATTCTACCAGATAAATATACTTATACAATTGATTGCCAAATGTCTAACCTGGTGGAACTAGATTAGTTTAGTTAAAGTAAATAATATGTTTTACTTTTAACTTAATTTTAGCTGATTTGGTGTGTTTTAATTTGACTGAATAATTTATGTGAATAAATATTACATTTGTTTTGCTTAATAACACTATATTTTTTATCAGTAATGTAATTTTCTTTCATTAATGTTCATTTATTTGACAATCCACCAAATGGTATTCTTGTAATTTCTTTTAATTAATATAAATCAGTTTTCCAAGCCACAAAATGTTTTTTTTTTTCAACAAAATGATCTATTTTTGCTTGTCATTAATTTAATATTAATAGTGTATTTTATGTACATAGTTTTACTATTTTATTATAGAAACACAGTAATTCCATCAACATACAAAGAAAAAAATTGTTATTTCTTTTAATTATTTTTAAAAATTATTGTATTTATTTATTTATTTAAGAAGCACATTAGTCTATTTTTCTGAATAATATTCTCTAATTTTGTTTGCGCGATATTTTTATATATTATTTTTAGAGAAGTCACTGATTTGTTTATTTGTATATATATATATATATATATATATATATATATATATATATATATATATATATATATATATATACTTCTTTTCCTTTTGGTGGATTATTCTTAATTTATTCTGGAAGCTACTATAATGCATCTTTTTTTTGTGAAAAAAAAAATACTCTAATTTTGTTCTCCAGTCAAGGTACACGTCGTAGCTTTTGATGGTGAGATGTTTGTGCTATTCCAGGAGACAAGATCCCTGTGCTGCAAACATAAGCAGCCGGTGGATTCCCAAATGCTTTTATCCGTGTCTATTTTGTACAGAAGTGAAATTCAGAAGCTCGTCGACTGAATTTCCAGAGTTGTCTTAACCTTAATACACACACACACACACACACACACACACACACTCAGAGGAAGAGAGCTTGCCGCCTCGATGCATATGCAAACAGTGGCTTTTCATTATAACTTTCCTTCTTTTTTTGGTTTAGCGTATGAGTCACATCTCCCCCTTTTCCCATCGCTCTTTATTTTTTCAGACAGGTTTGAGACAGATCTGATCAATGGCGCTCGGCCTCACTTCTTAACCAGACACTTTCTCCTTTCTCATGGTGCTTTTCTGGCCGCCGTCCATTTCATTCTTCACCGGCCAAATAGATCTGGGGAAGGAGAGAGATTGACTTCTTTTTGTTTGCTCGTTCGTTCCCCCTCATTGCGTTTTGAAAGCACTGACGCACACGAGACAAAACCAATCAATTGCCCTCTCCGTGGATCTTTTTCAAAAACGACCAATAACCTGATCGAAACATGATGTTGTTCACGCCGGAATTTGATCAGTGGCTAGAAAGGGGCTAATAAAATTTATCACGGTCGACCCCATAACTATATATCACATCGTTGCTGCGTTCCCAATGACGGAGAGCTCTGGGATCAGATAGATGGCTTTAAATTATAGAGAAAGACAAGGGTAATAGGCTTGTGGTCAAACTTTGTTTCTCTTTTGACCGTTAGGATTAGCTGTCGGATTTGGTCCCTCACATCCACGCCTGGAAAAACCGTGGCTTATCGTTCTGTCTTCCTGGGAAATAAATAAATAAGGCTACTGTCTGTTGCCACAGAGATCTTGATAATGGCACAAATCAGCTTAGGATCCCCCTTCTGCACAAACCTATCTCCCCCAGGATGCTGAAGGCAGGGAAGGACTTAAATCTGTTTTTTTTTCTCTCTTCTTTTCATTCTGCCTTTCAGTGGAGCTCGCAAAGTCAGAAGGAACTCCTGCGCTGAATAGGAAGTGAGGATTAAGCTGTTCTCCAACAAACAACCAATCTTTTCTGTTTCACAATCCTGACGATTGTTCTATCTATCTATCTATCTATCTATCTATCTATCTATCTATCTATCTATCTATCTATCTATCTATCTATCTATCTATCTATCTATCTATCTATCTATCTATCTCTATCACAGTTGTCCTCAACCACCAGGCTGTGGTCTGGTACCATGGCGCACAAGAAATTATTAGTTATTTCCGTTCTATTTAGTCTGAACGATCTATTATTTTGAGAAATGAATTCTCTTGGTCACTTGAGCACCCAAATTTAACCCACAAGCTAGCAAAATAACAAAGAAATAGACGTCCTTGGAAAGTTTCTTTGCGAAGGAGAAATGGCCCAGTGAACGACCATCGAATTGGCAAGGAATGGATCTGAAACCCATTTGTCAACAAATCAAGTGAATCCACCATGGCTGTGCTTGAAGAAGATCAACTGCTGGAGATCGCAAAAGATGGTGGCCTTTTATGGGCCATTCGCATATCACGTCTTTTCTGTGCACAAGTTCGGTATTTCCAATGGAGGTGCACGGCTTGCAGTTGAATGAAGAGCACCGCGAGAACTGACCGATCAGCTTTACACAAGACCAGTGGATCTCAAACTTTTTTCACCAAGTACCACCTCAGAAAAAAATTGTCTCTCCAAGTACCACCATAATGAGTACAATTAAATTACAGTAGCATAGTAAGCACAGTAAAGAAGCTACAGCACTGCACAGTTCACAAAACAGGCAGATTAATTCCTATTATTAAGAATATTTATTATTATCAGCCACTTTAAACATTATAAATAGTTTGAACAATAACACTGTACTGTGCTTATATATATATATATATATATATATATATATATATATATATATATATATATATATATATATATATAAACAAACAAAATAAGACATTTAAATTGAAATGTGCTTTTAAAAGTTAATCAAAAATGGTAGACTACTGTTCTTAACAAGTAAATAAAGCTCTTGTACTTAAATGTAAAGTATTGCCATGTAGTAGCCTATTCATCAATACCTGGAGATGTTGCTTGGACCTCATAAATGTAGTCTATATGTCATCACATTAATATATAAATAATTTTTAACTATATGTAGCATAGTACATAATACATATGACATATTTGATTCCTCCGCGTACCACTAGAAGGAAGCTCACGTACCACTAGTGCTCAGAGCCACTGCGCTAGACCAAGACAGAACTTTCAAACACTGCAGTGCTTTTTCATTTTCTCAATAAAAAAAAAAAACTTGTATCAGAGTCACAGCAATGTTTTGTCAGCTTGACATCCTCTGAGAAAACGGTTGATGTTTGCCTAGCAGTCTAAGTAAATAAACCCCCCAGGCTGCCTTAAATTGTCAAGCATTGACCAGTCCACGGGGCTAAAAGCATTGGATTTATCCCATTGATCTAGGATATGTTTACACAACAACATAAATAAAATCTAATAAAAAAAGAAATTATGGACACAATTATTTTAGATGAATCCTCATGTGACATTAATTGTAGTTTACACTGGAACTATGCTGTTTTCAAAAACATGCCCAATTTTCTTTTTTTTCTTCTTTTTTTTTTGATGGTTTTTGATTTTTTTTTTTGCCCCCAAAATGTTATAAATCCCATAATTTCCCAAAGTTTTCAGTTAAAATAACTACTGTATCTGAATAGATTTTAAACTTTCCAAACATCTTTCCAGTAATGCATCAGGTTTGCCTTTTTGCTTAATTTTTTTTCCATACTCTTGTTTAGTTTTAACTCCTCCAAACAGCTGATATTATTTGCAACACACTTCAACAATATAACCAGATCCTCAAAAATAAAATACCCCCCACTATGCCACCCAAGCACCCCCCCCCCCCCCCCATTCATTCTCCATGGAATGTTCTAGCAACACTCTCAAAATGGCTATAATAGAAAGCTAATTCTGCGGTGCTTAAGTCTTTGAAAGGCTAAAACGAGGTCATTGTGCTTTACAAGCAAACAAGGCAGTAATGCTGATGCTTGTTGCTAGTGGCGCGCTAAGTGGAGTCATCCCGATTAATAATTTATCATAGGATTTATTATTTTTTTGCCTCATAAGTAGTCTTTGTGACATATCTTAAAAAGGGGGTGAAAACAATGCCAAGTTGAACGGTGAATATTCACATTTTGCAAAGGCTTATTAAAAAGCGTGTTAGTATAGCTCCTTCGCTGGTCTGTCAGGAACTGTGAAACTCCCTATGGAGAATTGACATTCAGGGAGCCACTTACTCCAAGGAGCTGATATCAGACGCTCCAGTCTTCATGTTTTGCTGTGGTTATCGTGGTCCTGCTGTCAACGCTTCGGGCCGTGGTCTTATCTGACACCACCGCATCTAGCTAAACTCACATTGGAGTTCTTCTCAGTGGTAGACGGACCGATGCTGAGGGATTGTGGAAGCACTGGTCCGTTCAGCTGGCTTGTCAGAGCCACACAGAGAG